ATCAGTAAAATGGCTTGCTGTGAGGATCAAATGCAAAGCACTAGATCAGAACTTGACAAGTAATAAATGCTATATAAATATTAGCTGTTGCTGTTGTTATTGCTATTAGCACAGGCTGGGTAATGGGCATCTTCCCACACATTCCCAGCTGCCATGCAGCCACCTGCCCTCTCAGAGCTGGCCCCCAGGAGCAGCAAGCAGTAAATTTCTCCTATTTCCTCATAAACCAGGCCTTCCTCCACTCAGCCATCACCTGGCTGGCAGTGCTGTCAAAAAGACAGATGCCACATCTGCCTTGTTTACGGCTGTAGTTCCCAAGCCCTGCTCTGTGGGCTCCCAGGGAGGAGGCCAGGAGAGGAGGAGGGGGCGGGCATGCCCTCCCACAGGCCTCTACAGCTGCAGATGCCCGCTCAGCGACCCCCATCTCACTCAGGTGTAGGGTGATCCACAGGCCATCTGCAGGTGCTTTGGCAGATCACCTTTTATGCAGTCTGAGACAAGGCCATTGCAGGGTTTGAAAGAGGATTGATGTGACTCGATCTATGTTCTCACAGGCTCACTCTGCTGGGGACAGGACCCTGAAGCAATGGGAGGTGGTGATATGGTTCCCATTTTACAGAGAAGGAAACTGAGGCCTCAGGAGGGGAAGTGAGCTGCCCAAGGTCACACAGTTAGGAAGTGGCAGCACAGGACCCACACCCAAGTTTACAGACTCTCGCAGCTGTCCTTGTATGTGTGAGAAAGAAGGGGTGCCCGCCCACACCTCCTTGCCCTTACCACTTTCAGACAAATCAGCCCCATCTCCAAATGCCACTCTTCTGAGACTTCAGCTGGTCACAGAAGCCTTCACAGCCGAGGTACTGGACAGGCTGGAGTTGCTGAGGAATTAACGCCTTCCAGGAGAACTACCATGGTTGACGGGAATTGGTATATACATCCCAGTCTCCCTCGCACCTCCAGTGGGATGACTGTAAGGTGTGCTCCTCTCTGTCCCCAGGGAAGTAAAGCTCCAGCCTGCTCAGTGGTAACCTGCTCGGTATCACACCCTTTACGGCAGCCTTCCTTCTCCTACTAGTGTTTCCTCGTATCCCCTCCCAAATAAACTACTTGCTCTCAAATCCTTGTCTCGGAGGGAATTCAACTGACGATAGCCTTGAAGGGTGGATCAAATCTCCCCAAGCACTTCACCCCAGGATGAGACGTTCAGAAGGCCACTCGGCCCATCTGGTGACCTGGTGGCAGGGAATGGATGTGGCAGAGCAAAGGACAGGCAGCACAGGAGTTGTTTGTTCCCTGTGAGATCTTGGGCAGGGCAGGCAGGACCTGTGCGACTAACACAGGCAGAGGCAGACTGTTAAATCTGTTCATGTCGAGGGGACCAGAGTGGGCCAATCCGAGGCTGCCAGTGTGGCTGGGGCAGGCATCCTGGAAAAGGTGAGTGGAAGTCAGGCCCTGGAGACAGAGGGGGTAGGTGGAGAATAGAGAGCTGGCTGAGGGCAAGAGAGAGGGGGCCTGGAGGAGTAGGGGGGAGGAAGGAAAGGGGGAGAGCAAGGGCGCCAGCTCCGGAGCCAGGCTTGCCTGGGGGTGACTCCATCTCTGCCAGCTCTCCAGCGCGGTGATGTTCACAAACTGCCTCAGTCTGCTCTTCTGTAAACGGGCACAGCACCTGTGACAGCCTATACCACCCACCCTGGGGATCCAGGATCCTGCAGCTGACAGTATCGGCACCGACAGGCTTGGGCTATTAAATTACCCAATTGCCTATAAATCCCATTTCTCCCACTCACTCTCTGTATCAACAACCACCACCATTTCATCAGCACCTCGCATAGGCATCATTTTTCAGCCAACCTCTTCAAACACTTTACCTCCAACCCTCATAACAACCTATTGAGATGGGTGTTGTCTTCCTTGTTTTAGAGACAAGCTTCTGAGGCTCAGAGAGGTTAAATAACTTGTCCAAAGTCACACAGCAGGGAGGAGGCAGTCAGATCCAGACCCAGGGTGAGCCCCCCGCCCCCTTCAGGGGCCCCATCCAGAGCCAGCACTCTGTGGGTGTCACCTGCTCCTCCTGGCCAAAGACGTTCTCCCAAGGGACCAGCTCGACTCAGACAAGAGCAGGGCCACGGGAAGCCAGAGCTGCCTCCCTTCACCCAGGGTGGGTCTCAGGACCCACAAATGTTCCAGCAGCTCCTCTGCTCCTCACCTCACCCAGAGATGGGGCCTCACTTTTTTTACCAGCCTCTGCTGGGGCGTCAGGTGCAGCAAGAAGGATCCAGGTTAGCTGTGAGGTGCTGCCCCCCATTCCTCCCCGTGAGGCACACCCCGTGTTCACTCCAGCTGCTGCTCCTTTGCTTGCACAGTCCCCCCCATGCATGCTATCCTCCCTCCCATTACCCACCTCTCCCTCTGAGCCACCCACACTTTGCTGCACAGTAGAACCACCTGGGGCACTTTTTTAAAAAATCCTGATGCCAGGTTGTATCTAATTCAATCAGAATTTCTGGGGGTGGGAGTCAGGCATCAGTAGTTTTAAAAGGCCCCCAGGTGATTCAATGTGAGCAAGGCTTGGGAACTACTGTTCCCACCCAAGTTTCCCAGCCCTAAATACATATAAAATTACCTGGGGAGCTTTAAAGAAATGCCACAGCCCAGCCCCACCCCCTGAGGCTCTGTTTCATGGGTCTAGGGCCCTGGTATTGTTTTAATAGCTCCCAGGTGATTCTAATGCAAAGCCAAGCTTCAGAGCCACCTTTTTACAGTTCACAAACCACTCCATTAACACTTCCTCACTTGTCTGAGACACCTCGGGGCTGGCTCACCATCAACCCCATTTCTCAGATGAGAAAACAAAGGTCCAGGGAGGCCCCAGAGCTTGCCTCACAGTGAAGCGCTATGCTCCTCCAAATCCTGCTCCGGCCCTCCTTCCCCCATCTGCTCTGACAGCCATCCCAAACACCTCCGCTGGGGCTGCTAGAAAGGAACCCCTCTCCCTGGTTCCCCCGCCCAGCTGGGAGCGTTCATGAATCCTGACCTGAAGACTGAGTCTGGACAGAGCCTACATGGACTGACCAAGGCCTTTTCCCTGCCTGCCCCTCCCAGACCAAGAGGTGACTCCAGAAAGCCCCTCACCCTTGGTGGGCTAGACCAGTTATCCGTCTTCCAGTCTCACCCATCCCCATCCCAAAGCCATGTCTGATGACCTATAATCCGGTTGACCATACAATTTTCCATCCCCACTTGGGTACTTTCGAGAATGAAAATAATTTCTCAATAATTACTCCAAGAGAAAAGGAGTGAACAGAATGCACGGTCACCCTCCCCATGAGGGCTCAGCCTCCCACGCCCAGACATGTTTGGACTTCTTGCACCTCTCCTGTGATTACTGCCTGATGAAGGCATTTGCTGTGCAGCCTTGGGCAAGGTGATTGCCCTCTCTGACTCTCCATACCTTCCTCCATAATATGGGGATCATAAAAGACCCTAGAGTTGTTGTGAGGGTGAAATGAGATGACTTCTTTAAAGTGTCTGGAACATAGCAGAGACACAATGAACTGTGGTGTTTGTGGTTATTAGCTTGCCCAGGAACATAATCCCCCACATAAGACAAACACGCACACACACCCCTTCTCCCTTAGACATGCACACACAATCGCACACACACACACAGCCACCTACATCCACATAGGAACCTGGGCCCCTAGGGGATCCCCACAGTCCTAAATGGCCACCATTCCCAGTGGGCCCTGGCCACCAGAGGGCACCATGCTCCCCACCCACCTCATTGTGTTCCCTCCTCCCCTAGCCCTGGCGGACCACCCCACTGCCAATTCATGCAGCATGTCCGTAAGCCAACTCAGTCGCCCTTTGGTCATCTGGCCCTCTGCCCCAGCTGCACTGATCTGTTCAGGAGGATCTAAGAGGGAATTCATCATCCTTGCACAGGCACCTCTCAGCCTGAGGGGCACCCAGGGCCCTCCCACTGTCACTGAGGCCGACACCTGCTGCACAGCTGCCCAGACCAAGAGCACACAAGAACCCACATCCAAACGTATCCATCATGCACCATGATGGCAGCCCTAGGAGGCTGAGGGCCTAGAGCTCAGACCTGGGTTCAAACCTTGCTCTACCACCATCCATTTGTGAAACTCAGGTCCCTTTATTTCGCTTCTCTGTGCCTGTTTTTCAATCTGTAAAATGGACGCATTGTCTCATCCTCACATGGCTCATTGCCTGGCCTTTTTAGGACTGTTCGAATGCTACCTTTGCAGGAAGACCATCCTCTGTCTTATCTGTTTTGTTTCTACTGCACATTTTCCTTTGACATATTCTATATTTGCTTATCGATCTTATTTATTGTCGTTCTCCCCACTAGGATAAGAACTCTAAGTGATTTCTGACTCTCCTTCACTGCATTACCCACCGTGCTTAGAACAGAGCCAGGCACGTCCTGGAGTCTAACTCGTGTTTGTGGAGTGACTGAGGGAGTCCCGAGAGGTCAGAAATGGTTTCTGTAAAGTGCTCAGACCCGCAAGCGTTAGGATTTGACACAGAGCAGCTGGGGTCAGTTCAGTTCTGTGGACCCCAGATGAACCCCAAAGCAGCCACAGGCTGGATGGCGCCTCTGCAGAGACCCAGGAGCCCTTTCCCCCAGCTCAGCAGCATCACCAATGGCTTGGTAAGAGGGACCACAGCAGTTTCTATCACCATAAGCCCTCCTACCCCCAAGGCTTCTCAGGGTCTAAGTCTGAATTGGTCCTGGCCCCGCCCCCATCGGGCCCCAACTCGGCTCCGCTCCCAGACACCACCAGCCCATCTCCTCGCGGTGTTGCCTGGGCCCCTTGACACTCCTGCCCCTGCAGTGTCGCCATAGGCGCCCCTTACCGGGCGCTTGCAGCCTTTGTCCCTCCAGTCCTATCCCCTCAGGGCCCCTCCTGGCCCCGCCCCTAAGGCCACGTTCCTGGGCTCGAACCCAGGCCCTGCCCGGCGCGCGTGCTCACTGGTGCACTTCTTCAGGTGGCTGCCCTTCTTGAGCGCGTGGCGGCTCAGCTTGCAATGGAAGTTGTCCTCCCAGAATTCCGCAAACCAGATGTTGCGCCGGTTGTTGTCCAGCGTGCGGCTGGAGAAGTAGCGGTCGAAGCCTAGCAGGGAACCAGGACGTCAGGGCCTCATGACTCACCTTCGCCACCCTTCCCGCTTCCTCCAGGCTTAGAGATGGCCCAGGGGGAGGGAGGGAGGAAGGGAAGAGCACATCCTCTGATCCAGGGCCCCAGTGGAAAAAACAAAATGTGAAGCATTTCATTTCACTCAAAATGAAAAGAGCTGTATTAAGTCCCAAGGGGAGCACGTGTAATCTTACAACTGCTGCGTTTATGGACCAGAAGTACCCGATGAGGATGTTTCTGCCTTTTAACTACCAAAATGCTAATATTGGGCCTTTTTCAGAAGGAGCCACCTGGAGGTCTCAGATTAAAGCAGAGAGAGGCTGTGGGCGGTGCTCAAACTTGGAAGCACCTGAGTTCTCTGGTTCTGACAAGGAGCCAGGACCAGAGACGGTAGGGGATGACCCAGGTCACACAGCAAGACCAGGACCTGGACCTGGATCGTCTCCCTTCAAGTCTAGAACTTCCCCATCATGGTGGATGCAGCCTCCTCCTCCATATGCTCCTGGGGACTCACCAACTCTGCTCTAAGCCCAGAAAACCCTGTTCCATGGTGGACAGGCTGGCAGGTAAATAATGCCCATTTTCTCCTCCCAAAGCCCCATCTGTATCGATGAGTGCCCCGTGTAATGGGCACAGTTGACTCAGCTGCTTGGAAGGGGCCAGAAGGTATGAAAGCTCAATGGGGCCTACACCAAAGGTGAACTTCCTGTCTGTGGCTAGGTCCAAGTGGAGGCTTAATGACTACCGTATTTGCCGGCGTATAAGACGACTGGGCGTATAAGACGACCCCCTAACATTTCCACTCAAAATACAGAGTTTGTTATATACTCGCCGTATAAGACTACCCCCTCTTCCGCACACCTTCCACACACCAAATAAAAGGTAAAACAATATCAGATTTGATTTCAACATTTATATTTATATTCAAATGCTTATGACATGCAGGAAAACTGTCACAAGGCTGTATGTAATCAAACATATACATAAATCGCGATTTGCGATTTTGCGCTATCATACTGGGTGTATGGTTGGCTGTGTGCGATTTTGCGAGTGTGGTAAAATCGCATAAGAGCAAAATCGCATAACAGCCGAGCATACACCCAGCAGCGCTGCTGATGCCTGAACGGTATGTGGAATGAAGTGGGCGGGCATCGGGAGGCCACTATGGCACGGGGCAAGCACTATGGGCAGTCTATCTGAAGTGTACCTGGCGTATAAGACGACCCCCCACTTGGAGGCATATTTTTCAGGGCCAAAAAATCGTCTTATACGCCGGCAAATACGGTATCTGTCAGAGCTGTAGAACAAATGCTGGCATTGGTGGTGGACCGACCTAGAGCAGGGTTTCTCAGCCTTGGCACTACTGACACTTTGGGCCCAATCTTAATTGAGGGGGCTGTTCTGTGCATTGCAAGATGTTGAGCAATAGTCCTGGCCTCCACCCACTAGATGCCAGTAGCGTCACTCCCCAATTATGACAAAAAATGTCTCTCGACATTGCCAAATGTCCCTGGAGGGTCAAAAGTACCCTCAGATGAGAACCACTGCTCTAAAGGCTTCTCTAATGTCCCAGAGAAAAAAGGGACTTATCAGGAAAGTCCTGGGTTCAAAGGCCAGCTCTGCCGCTTACTAGCCACTATGTCACTTTATCTCTCTGAGCCTCACTGTATTCACCTACTAAATGTGGATAAAAGCGTCTCGTGTAGTTGCTGGGAAGACTAACTGAGATGTCTGGAAAGGGCCTGGCATTTTAGGTACCAATAAGCATAGCTATTATTTTGTGTTTATTATGATTTGAGGCTGAGAGGGGTGGTGTAGAAACTGTTGCCTGTGCTCCCTCTGCCTCGGGGTGAACAGAGGACGCTGCTGTGTCACCATGGACCAAGTCCCTCCCCTGATCAGGCCTCAGTCTCTTGGAAAGTTTGGTGGAGGCAGGTGTCTGTAGGCCTTTCCATTGAATGGAACAAGAACAGAGGAGAAGGCCCTGGGAGCCTGCCTCCCCGTGGTGAGGTCCCTGGCAAATCAGGCCATTAATGGAAACTTAATGCCTCACTCCCAGCAAAGTTCCGGCCAGAGCAGTGTGTTCCTTCCCAGGATGACCATGGGTTCTGTCCCAAGAGGAAGGAGGATGAGCAAGGCAGGCCCAACCCCAATGCCACCCAGAGCCTGCCAGACTCTGCAGGGAGTTCCCTGCCCCCAGCACAGCACCCTCTTCTAGCCTGCTGGCAGCTCCGCCCCTTCCAGCAAAGGCCTCCCTCCAGGCAGCATGAGGGCCTCGTCCCAGATGGAGAAGGGATAGGAGTATATGAGGATGAAGGAGAGTCCTTGATACATAAGCCTCCTGTATGTCACACATGCCTCCGACACCCAAAGATATCTGAGAAGGAAGAAAACCCCTGAATCTGGATTCGTATCCTGCTGGACTGAGTGTGGCCAGAAAGGCCTCCCAGCCCAGACGTCAGCATATAGAGAGGCTGTGGGCCAAGAAAGAAGACAGACAGGATGTGGGAATATGAGGAGCGGGAGAGGAAGGGAATGTGGGGGAGCAATAAGAAGGAACAGTTAGGGGTGACGTGGTGGTAGGGGAGAGTGGTGGGCGTGCTGGGCCTACCTCGCACAGACATCCTCTTGGGGAGGATAGTGACAGCGCCCTCAGCCACCTCCTCCAGGTGCAGCACAGGTGCAATCTTGGAGCCCCAGCTGTCCGAGCCCATCCAGAAGAAGTGGCCTGTCTGGTTGGCCTTCCGTGCAGCCTCCAGCACACGCCTGTGGGAACACACACCATCCCAGCCCAGCCGTGTCTGCCCATGCAACTGCCCCGACCCTGGCCATACCTGCTCATGGGCCCTTGGGTGACCCCACCCCCAGGCACACACCTGTCCCCTCACAGCCCATGCCTGTCCCCCAGGCTATGTCTGGATCCCCCACACCTGGCCCACATGAGCCCAGGGCCCATGTCTGTCCCCTCAGGCCCATGGTTCCCTCTGTCCCTGGCCCACATACCACCCATGTACCCCTAGGCCCACGCCTGCCTACAGGCCCCATGTGCCCTCTCAGACTCACTACTGTCCCCTAGGACCACATCTGTCCCTACAATGACCACACCTATTTCCCTAGGCCTGTACCTGCCCCATGTCTGACCCAGGCTCCCACAACTACATCTGCCCAGCCCCTGTCCTCTCAGGTTCATGCACCCTCACCCACACCCACACCTCTTGGCCCCTTCTCACATTTACACACACACCCCTCTACACCCTTACCCCTCTGCCCTTGCTGCTCCCCTGCCAGCAGTGCCTCCTCCACCCCACCTCTTTCTGTGCCAAAAGTCAGGTGCTTCAAAGAGTTGCTCCCCACACCCTCTTGGATGGGTGAAAGGTTTTGGGGCAGCCAGGTGCTCACCCCCTACTGTGGCAGTGGTCTTAATCAAATCAGGGACCCGAGAGCCCATCACAGGGCCGAGACCCCAGGAGGTGCTCAGTCAGTGGTTAACAGATGTATGAACTAAATGGCCCCTCAAAGATATCTTCTGGGAGGAGAAAAACAGGGAGGACTGGGCAGAATTCCTCCAACCCAGCTCCTTCCTCAGGGCGAGACTGGCGCATCAAGGAGGCACGCAACTTGGTCAAGATCACACAGCAAGTGAGAGGTAGGGATACTAGAAACTGGCCAGGCCCCTCCCATGGGTGAGGGTCAGGACACAACTCCAGGGCTTGGGGTGGCTGCTGGCCCTGTAGGAGGTGACCAGAAGAAACCTGTTTCCAGGCCCCAGAGACCTTTTCTCCTCTATCATCTCCTGACTCTAGACATTTCTAGACCCCAAACCTGCTACATCCCCCCCAGGGCACACTCACCATAGCGGGGACTATCTCAGAACCAATACCCACAGCCCTATTAATACCCACTTGCATCCTGCCGGCCAGAAATGACCAAGCCTCCATCCCTGCAAAGTCACCTGGGTTTATTTTTACTTCTCTTTGCTTCTGGAAATGCATATGGGTTTCCAGAATAGCCCCCACCTCCCACCACCGTTCCTACAGCCACTCCAGTCAGTCTGAGGCCCTTCCTCCTCCCCCAGGGGCCTCTGGGCCACGTGGCCGGGCACCTTCATCCTCACTTCCCAGCTCAGGGTCCATCAGAGCTGAGCAGGAGGCCTGGAGTGGGGGCATATCTGGGTGAGGTGTGGGACCTGACAAGCGCTGAGCTTTGGGGTGGGAGTGGGAGGCAGGAGTGCGGGGACTGGTGACTGAAGCGAGGAAAAAGCGCTCAGAAGGGCCCCTCCCAGGAGCTGGCTGACCTGTAGGCAACAGGAACGTCCAGAGCCAGAATTAGAGGTCCTGTCAGCTTTGAGGGGGTCGGGAGCAACCTCTGCTCAGCTCAGAGGAGTCAGGTGGACTCTGAAGATTCCCCCTCCCTGGTCTTTTGCTGCTCCTTTCGGCTTTTGAGGCCTTAATGATTTTCCAGAACTTTCCCCTCCATCCCTTCATAGACCCAGAATGCCTCCTGGGGAACTCTGTTTCGCTGCAGTTCAGGAGTCCAGGATGGGCTCTTTACCAAGTGGAGAAACATATTAGAAAGAATGTGACCCAAAGCGAGACTCTGGCTAGCAATGGGAAGGGAGCTGTATGCTGTCAGCCGTAGGCAGGGGGTCCTGAGGGCACAGCAGCCCTGACAGCTGAGACCAGCCATCTGAAGGCCAGGTCTGGGGAGGACCACAGCTGCTATCTCACCTTCCTCTGCAAATGCAGGGGTGTGCTTCCCCCACAAGACTGAATAGGGGCTGTGTCCCCTCCTCAGACTGGGGCTCCCTGAGGGCAGGGCTGTGTCCCCTCCTCAGACTGGGGCCCCTGAGGGCAGGGCTGTGTCTCCCCCCTCAGACTGGGGAATCACAGAGGCCTGGCCCATCTTGGCCCTAGCGTCCAGTCTCGGAGAGGTGGTAACAAGGTAAAAGGCCGTGAGAAGGGAAGCAGTTTAGGAGGGGCACCCAGGGGTCATTTTTTAAAGGCACCAAGTTTCTGACCTGTGACTCAGGACCCAGGGGCAGATGTGCAGCGAGATGGGCTGGCCCAGGGTTTCTGCACTGTGTGGCCCCGGCACCCAGCACCCGGAGTCCACCTGCTCCCATTCTGCAGTTGCAGAAACGAGGCTCAGGAAAGGGCTCATACTGCCTACGGTGAGGGTGTGCCCAAGCCAGGACTAGAACCACAGCGTAAGCATCTTCCACTATTCTGAGCTCACTCACCAAGAAAAGAAGGGGCACTGAGAAGTGCCCAACGTGCGACAGGTGCCTACTGCGTGCCAGATGGCTCTAAGCCCTTTGTGCACATTCCTGCATTCAATTCTCAAACACTATCAGGCAGGCATCATTAGCTCCTTTTTTAAAGCAGAAAAGACTCCCAGAGAGGTTGGAAAACTTGCCCGAGGTCACAGAGAGCAGGAGGGAGAGAAGGATTAGAACCTAGGTGCTCAGACCCCAAGCCCAGGGCCTTAGCCCCTCCATTAAAGTACCTGCTTCCCATCCCTGGCTAGTAGAATGGATGCAGCACACAGAGAGGTGAAGGGCAGGGGTGTCCATTAGCAGTAGCCTGTGCCCCCTCACCAAGGGTGTCCCAGCCCACACTCACTAGCCCACCCCACCCCTCTGGATCCCAGGCTGGGGTCAGACTTGTTTAGGAAGGTCACCAGCAGGGATCCCTGGCTCCCAACCCCTGTCCCGCTGACCCCGCCCTCACCTGATGTCATCCTCATTGGCAAAGATGATGATGGCCCTGGCGTTGGAGGTCTCCAGGAGGCGCCGGATGATCTTGTCAAACTCCCCTGGCTTGGGCTCCCGCGGTATCTTCACTGACTGGGCAATACACACGCCCCCTGCAGGAAGGACGCCAGTCAGGCAGGGCGGACAGGGGAGCACAGTCTTTCTCCCCCTTCACCCCCAACACACACTCCCTCCAGGAGAACGAAGGTGGGGGCTGCCCAAGGTCCCCAGCCTGACTCCTAACCCTGGGTCCCAATCTCTGGGCACAAGCTGTGTAGTCAGGACAGCCACAGTGCAAATTTTGGTTCCACCACTCACCAGCTGGGTGATCCTGGACACGTCACTTAAGTTCTCTGTGCCTCAGTTTCCCCATATATAAAATAGGCTGCTAACAACAGGCACTACAGCATCATGCGTAGGAGCTAGTCCTGCCTAGGTTCAAATTTCGGCTCTGCTACTTACTGCTGTGTGACCTCAGAGCGGTTACTAAACATTTCTGTTCCTCAAATACATCATCTATAAAGTGAAAATAAAGTGGAAATACCTACTTCATAGGGTTGCTATAAAGCTATGTGAGTTAATGCATATAAATACAATAATATCTGGCACATAGCAAGTGCTTATTAAACACTGATTATTTTCATTGTAACCGCCTCATGAGGGCTTTTAAAGGAGTAAATCTGAGAATGAGAGCAAACCATCCACCCTGGGACATTAGTGCCCCCACGCCCACATCCGCACACACCCCCATGCCCCCAGGCCCTGTGCTTATCAACAGGCTCCTTGGAAAGAGCAGGGTTCTTGGCTGCTGACTGGTACCCACACATCCTGGGCAGCGATGCTGCAAACCCAGCTACAGTTATCATCCAGGTCTTCCCAGGTTCCTTTCTGGGCACTCACTCACAACCCCTCCTCCGTGTGTAGGCTCTCCAGCTCCCACCCTCACCTGGCAGGGTGCCTTGACACCTCAGCCTCCCCGCATCTTATTTGTGATCAGATTCCTAGTGGGGTGCTCCAGAGAGACCTGGAAGGCCACTTTAAAAGGAGCGCTTCAGGGGGGGTGACCAGAGGAACTCTGATTGGGAACAGGGGGATTTGGGGAGCCTTCCTGTCACTTCTTCTCAGGTCCACTGCCTACCTGGCTGAGTCCTGAGGGAAGGGACGCAGGCCCAGCCGGCCTCTCTTGCTCAGTCCTCTGCAAGAAGCCTGGCGTCAAGCCTGCAGAAGCGTCAGGATGCAGCCAATACGCCACAGAGCCGGATCCACACACAGGCTGTGCCGCTCACAGACACCCTGGGAGCCTCTTATACTTCACCCAGCCAGCTCCCAGACCCAGATGTGTCGCTCCAGTGCTGGCCGGGACAGGTGTCATTCATGTACTTAAATCTCCCCTGATCTCCTGGTACCAAAGCACTTGTGGACCACTGTTCCTATCATTAACCATATTTGACAGATGAGGAAACTGAGGCTCAGAGAAGTGGCTTGCCTGAAGCCACACAGTTCCCTGCCCTACTGGGGTACAGAAGGGTATTCCCCTTCAAGGAATAAGACCCCCAGGGCCCCCGGTGGCAGAGTCAGGGCTCATATGATGGAAAAGCATGAGGGATTATTCTTTTTTTTTTTTTTTAAGATTTTTATTGGGGAATTGGGGGAAGGGGAACAGACAAGTTGCTGTCATTTTTGTTCTTCAGTCTAGTTGTGGAGGAAGTTGCTTCACTGGCCCAAGTTGGCACCATCATTGAGCTCTTCCCGGGCGAGGCACATCAGTCGCTGGCTTCTGGACGGCCGCTCACTGCGGCTGCTGGCCGCTCATGCTGGCTGCTGGCTACACACGGTAGCCCATGGCAACCCACTGCCACAGGGGCTGCAGCCTACGCCGTCGCTGGCGACTCAGGGCAGCCCAGCTCCAGGTTGAGCTGTTGTTCAGCATCTTAGCTGTGGAGGGCAGTGTCACTGGCCCTCATATGTGGGATCCGAACCGGGGACCTCTGGCGTCCCAAGCCAGTTCTTAACCATCGCGCCACTCAGCCGGCCCATGAGGGATTATTCTTAATGAAGCCAGACTTTTATTAAGACCATCACCCTCCTCTGAGTCCCACTCAAGGGTCTCAGCCCAGCTCCACCTCAAACAGGACCCCTTTGGGCCCAACCAATGCCTCAAACCATCCACCTTGGCTGGGCACCCCTGGGCCTCCGAATGGCCTCCTAGTCCAGGCTGGGGCCACCTGAAGCTTCTGCACAGGCTCCATGCACCTGCGTCAGGGCCTGAGCTGCAAGGGGCTCACAGTGCAGGAGGACACAACCCCCCCACACTAGCCCCCTGGGAAAGATGCCAACACCCAGCTCCACCCAAGGAGGGGCCTCTTCCCATGGGCATAGTAGCAACCAGGGAAGGCTGCCCAAAGGTGGTGACCCTGAGATGAGCCTTAGAGGCAGGAGGCACAAGGAGCCAGGTCGGGGAGCATTCTGGGAGGACAAGGTACACTGGAAGAGGGGCTGCTCTGGGCCAGGCACCTGCCGGGGCGGAGGCCTCACAACACACACATCCCTGCCCCCAGGAAGTGGACCCCCTGCGTCTCTGCAGCAGGCAAGGCAGCATGGCCCCCTGCTCCCATCCTGGTCAGCACCCACCTCCCTTACTTTCTGCCTCTTTGAGGCAGGCCAAGCTCCTCACATCTCTCCTAAGACACTCAAAGAATTCCCAAGCTCTGGAGAAGAGCATGGTTACCAGGAGCTCCTGGGGAAGGAGAGACGGGGCAAGGGTCCTGGAGGAGGACTGGGCCCCTCCAGTCCCTGGTCAGAGGGAGAGCCAAGGGGCCCCAGTCCGCTGCCCACAGCACTGGCCCTGCACTAATGGCGGCTGGGCAGACACACAGCTCCAGCTAAACTCTCCATATGGTTCCTTTCCAGTTAGAAAGTGGGCCAAATGCGACGTTTCTCCCCCATCTGGGGAGACAGATGGACAAGAGGAGGAGGCTGGATGGGGGTGAGGGTGAGCCACCTGGCTACAGGAGGGAGGGGGGCCTAGGGGCACAGGGGAGGGAGGCAGGGCTGGGAGTTCATTGTTCTCCAACGGGAGAAACTCTTCGGTTAAGTAATCTTTCTGGGCAATGCTCCCCTAAGAGGTTCTGTGGGCTGGCCCCACCTGACACCCCAGGGCATATCGTGCATGCTTCGTTTTGCTGGTGAAGGAAGAATTAGGTGACCACAGCTCTGTCAGCTAGAATGTGAGTGAGTCACAGGCACTTGAGATGAGAACACGGTCAGAGCCGGGTGTGATATTCTTACAACCACAAGAGGCGGGGCTGGAGGGGAGTGTGGGGCTGTTATGCCGAGCTCAACGATGCTGCTGAACGTCATGGAGGGTCTAACCCATGTTGAATGTTATTCTGCAGATGTTACATGGCTCCACTCATCTGAGGTCAGCGTGATCCGCACAGCTCCAATACGCTCGTATAGATGAGGGAGCTGAGTCACAGAGAGGTTCAGCGGCTTCCCCAAGGCCACACAGACAGTCAGAGGCAGAGCAGGGGTGTGACCACAGGCTGCTTGTCTCCCACAGTCACCCCTTCAGCCCGTCCGCTCTGTCATGACCGAGGCCGCGTGGGGAAGGGGTGGGGTGTAGAGTCAAAGGGACACCTCGGGCCCATAAGCATGGGCAGGCCTGGGCACAGCACCTGCCCTGGGGTAAACACCCACTGGGATCACTGCCCCCAGGGTGAGAAACCAAGTGCCAGTGGGTCCCCTTTGCACTGTTGCCCAATTGTCAGCAAGGCTGCCCATGGGGCTCCAAAGCAGGACATAAGAGGCTGGCTCAGCAGGGACTACTGGGGTGACACAAGCTCTCAGTAGTTAGTGGCACAGCATCTGCCTCAACTGCCCTCCTGGCCCCCTTGTACGGCCAGAGGGGACTAGAGTGGCCTGGGAAGGAGCAGCATATACTGGGTACCCAGTGCATGGCTTGGCACTCAATGAATCCTCACACACCCTGGGGGCAGGTGCTAATAGCCCCATCTTACAGATGGGAAAACTGAGGCTCAGAGGCACTAAGTCACCTGACAGAGCTCGCACAGCCGGTAAGCGGAACTGCAATCCAGGTTCCTCGGGCAGAGAAAGGGAAGGCCCGGGTCACTGGTCTCTGTTAACCCCCAGCTCCTGCAGCACCTCCCACCCCTGGAAAGACCCCAAGTCACGCACCATGCCTGCCAGCCCTCCTATGTCCAGCCTCTACAGCTGCAGCTCCATCACTGCGGGGACCATGGCTAACACTCCCCTAAGACACCCTCTTCAAACCTCTCCACCAAGGAGGGGGTACTTCCTTTCCCCCATGGTCTCTCTTGTTGGATAAAATAAGAATCCATGAGTCCACGCTGATAGTAAATATGATCAAATTAAACCCACCTGACGACGAACAAGCCCACTCCCACTTCTGGGCAGAGGCTGGAACCCTCCAATACTGTCCCCAGCTCCAAGCACAGGATCACAGAAGGGAGGGGGCATGGAGGAGTCTGAGGTTCCCCATGGCCCCCAGGACCTCCTGGATCCCCCTCGGCAAACCCTTTCGTCCATGCGCCAGCTTCCCAGCCCCCTGGCAAGCACCCGGCTGCCGTGTGCCAGCTGCAAGCTGCCACCCGCCAAGCCAGTGCCTCTGCCTGAAGAGCCAGAGGCAGGAAGCCACAGCCACTTGCCAAGAACATCTGAGCACTTGGGGGTGGTAGGGACTTCAGAGACCTCCTGGCCCAAGCTGGGCTTCGAGAGAGGAGACTGAGGCCAGAGAGGAGCAGTGCTTTGCCCAGGGGCACACAGCAGTTGGGGCAGAGCCCACTCCAGTCCTCTGACTGCTTCCCACATGCTTGGTCACTGCGTAAGCAGAGCCACCCGGACTAAGCCCCGCAGTGCGTGCCAGGACATCCCAAAATGCCCTGGGCCCCACCAGCCCACCCCCCTCTCCAGCTTTCCCCTCCCACCCTTACCCTCACCCAGCCCTGCAGTGATGTGGCAGCTGTGGTGGCCCCAAGTCGGCCCTGACTCCACACCTTGCTCTCGCCCGGTGCTGTCCCACCAGTCAAAGCTGGCTTGTGCTTAGTCCCACCCCTCAAAGCCCAGCCTCTGC